TATTAACAACTGTAATAAAGAAGTGAGAAGTAAAAATGTAATGAAGGTTAACATGAAAGTATTAACTTCATGATGGCTGCAAAAATATGTGGTTATTTTTAATACTGAAGAATTAGTGAATTAATTATGAATTCATAATTCATAATGAATTAGGATGCTTAATTTTATGTGTACTTTACCACAACTAAAAAAGTTTTGAAGGCTGTTCTCATTTGAAATAAAAAGGACAGGCATAGTTCAACAGTACAGAGTTGACAATCCTGAAATGAACCCTTAATTATAAGCCTTTTTCAACATGTCAAATAGTTCCCAACAAGGGAATCAAGACTTCATTGGAAAAGAAAGTCTTTTCAACTAACTAAAAGGACAGAATTGAATGTCCACCAGCAAAAATGAATTTAGATCTCTAATTCTTGTAATACACAAAGTTAATTCAAAATGAACTGCACACCAAAAAGTTAACTACTTTAAATATAAAATCCTTTGAGAAAACTGTAAGTGAATCTTTGTGATCTAGTTATGTAAGATTTCTTAGAAAAACCACAAACAAAAATAAAAAATTACAATAAACAATTTCAACAAAATTAAAAACACTTGCACGTCAGCAATTCCTATCAAAATAATAGCACCAGCATTCTTCACAGAACTGGAACAAACAATCCCAAAATTTGTATGGAACCAGAAGAGACCCTGGATAGACAAAGCAATCTTGAAAAAGAAAACCAAAACTGGAGGCATCACAATCTCGAGCTTCGAGCTGTAATCATCAAGACAGTAAGATACTGGCACAAAAACAGACAGTCATTACAATGGAATACATTAGAGAACCCAGAAATGGACGCACAAATGTACGGCCAACTAATCTTTGACAAAACAGGAAAGAATATCCAATGGAATAAAGACAGTCTCTTCAGCAAGTGGTGCTGGGAAAACTGGACAGCAACATGCAGAAGAATGAACCTGGACCACTTTCTTACACCACACACAAAAATAAACTCAAAATGGATAAAAGACCTAAACTTAAGACAGGAAGCCATCAAAATCCTCTAGAAGAAAGCAGGCAAAAACCTCTATGACCTTGGCCACAGCAACTTCTTACTCAACATGTCTCGGGAGACAAGGGAAAACAAAAGCAAAAAGAACTATTGGGACCTCATCAAAATAAAAACTTCTCCACAGCGAAGGAAACAATCAAAAAAACTAACAGGCAACTGGAACAGAAGAAGATATTTGCAAATGACATATCAGATAAAGGATTAGTATCCAAAATCCATAAAAGTCAACACCCAAAGAACAAATAATCCAGTGATGAAATGGGCAAAAGACATGAATAGACACTTCTTCAAAGACATCCAGATGGCCAATACGGGAAAAAATGCTCAACATCATTCATCCTCAGGGAAATACAAATTAAAACCACAATAAGATACCACCTCACACCAGTCAGAATAGCTAACATTAACAACTCAGGCAACCCCAGATGTTGGTAAGGATTCAGAGAAAGAGGATCTCTTTTGCGCTGCTGGAGGGAATGCAAACTGAGGCAGCCACTCTGGAAAACCAGTATGAAGGTTCTTAAAAAAATAAAAAAACTACTCTACAACCCAGCAATTGCACTAACAGGTATTATTCCAAGGAATACAGGTGTGCTGTTTCGAAGGGGCACATGCACCCCAATGTTTACAGCAGTGCTACTGACAATAACCAAAGTATGGAAAGAGCCGAAATGTCCATCGATGGATGAATGGAGAAAGATAATGTAGTATATTTATACAATAGGGTATTAGTCGGCAATCAAAAAGAATGAAACCTTGCCATTTGCAAGGACGTGGATCAAACTAGAGGGTATTATGCTACATGAAATTAGTCAAAGACAAATATCATTATGATTTCACTCATATGAGAAATTTAAGATACAAAACAGACAAACACAAGAGATGGGAAGCAAAAATAACAAATAAACAGTAAGGGGGCAAAACAAAAGGACTCTTAAATGTAGGGAACAAACAGGGTTGCTGGAGGGGAGGTGGGGGGGGGGAATGGGGTAAATGGCTTAGAGGCATTAAGGAATTTACTCCTGAACACTCTGCTGTACTATATGCTAACTAACTAGGATGTAAATTTAAAAAATAAGAAAAAAGAAACAATCTGCACTTCAAAGATGCCATTAAGCAAAGAGATAACATACTACTACCAGAAAATATTGCACGTCATGTCAAATAAAAGATATAACCTAAACAGAAAAAATTAGATATTAATTTTTAAAAAAGGCACAGTATGAATACACATTTCTCTAAAGATCTACAAACAGCCAGTGAGCATACATCATCATTACCCAATTGGCAAATGCAAATTAAAACCACATGATATTACTGCACATCCACTAAAGTGGGTGTAACCAAAAGTCAGGATACACACAGAGAACTACAAAACTTATAAACTGCTGGTAGGAATAACAACACTTTGGAAATGAGTTGGAAGTTTCTTAAGCTAAACATAAATTCACAATGCACCAATTTTGCTCCTAGGCATGTACCTATACTATTCATGTACCACCAAAACTTGTAATGTCCCTACCAGCTTTAGGTCCGTATTAAATAGAGCCGCAATACAGTATGAATGAATCTCAAAAACATTACCTAGGTGAAAGCAGCCAGATATAAAGAATAAATATTACATGATCACATATGAAATACTCAAGCAAATCTATAGAGATACAAAGATTAGAAATTGACTGTGGCTACAGAGGAAGGGAATAAGATAAAAGCTAATGATCAGGAGGAACTAGGGTGATGTAAAAATTTTAAAAATGGAATTGGGTACTGTTTTCCTATTTCTAAATTGAATAAAAAAGGAATAAATCTTATAGTATGTAAAAATTACACCTCAAAAAAGCTGCAGAAAAATTTACATGATAACCAAGACATAATTGCCTTTTCACTTTATAAGTGCATACCCTTTAAAGTATATATATCAAAGCAAGAAAAAGTTCTTATTAAGAAAATTATCTTTAATTCAGTGTAGGCAAAGGATGGTTTCCACATTAAATTTTGAAACAAAGGTAAAAGTATTAGAAAGCTAAAAAAAGTAAGTATCTGTTCAGCTAAATAACAACTAAATGCTTAATTTCTTGGCAAACATCCAGTTTCAATAACCATAAGCTGCATTATAAATACCTCATCAAAGAAAAAAGTCTGAAATAGATACCAAATGTTTCTTACCTATATATTGAAAATGTATTTCAGAATCCCAGAAAAAAAAAAGTATTGGTAAATACTATTTGACAATTTCTGTTCAGTAATGTGTCTTAAGGTAGAAATTACTTGTTTGCTGGTTAGTGGCTACAGAAATTACCTGTAAGTTAGACCAAGTATTTTTAGCATAAACCAATAAAAGAAAGTAAACATTAAAACAATATAATGTTACACATTCATGTAAAAACTGAATACTTAAATCTAAAAATATTATTTTTAAATTCATGAAACAAAAAAAAAAATCTCAAGTGATCCTTGGAACACTAACTGCAAGTACCTTACGCTTTCCATGTTTCCAGACACTGGAACAAAATTTTTAGTGTTTAAGTTGAAACTACAGGCATGTTTCTGAATTGAGAAAAATAATGCTGACCTCTTTGTATAACATGTTTTTCAACTTTCCAGTTTTGTTTAGGCAAAAATGACCGTTAAATTAGGACAGCAAGGAAAATATAACAGCCTACGCTCAGTTTTAAGTCACTCCAAAAATAGGGTTTAAGATAGCCACCTTAACCTATAGTTTTCTCTTATTCACAATGTAATTGGTAGTGATAAGTTGCAAGAACACATTTACCGAATGTTTCCTGATCAAAGAACCTAAACTTATTTTTTTAAAGCGTTAAGTATATAAATGTTAAGCGCATTTACAAAATGAACCTATTTCCTAGTAAGAAAATACTACAGTGTACACCCCCCTTAAAAATTACAAGATGAATAATTTAACCCACATTTACAACCGGTAAACTGAATTCAGAAACTATTTTTAAAAACTATTCAGTTGTAAAGACCTGTGGGACAAACTGCACAATGGGAATACTCAACTAGCGTAATAAAGGAAATCCACACAATAGCATAAATGGTCTCAATGAACCGTACTTTCCACAGAATACTAAATGTATTCTATAACCCCAAATTAACATTTTATAATAAAAAATCCGTATACGAAATCACAATGAGATTTTACTAACCAACTCAAAAACGCTCTTTCTACATTAAAAGCTAAAAACAAACACGTAAAAGCTAACGTGGAATCGACATTTCCGTGAAGACATCGTTCACTGTCCGTTAGCTCTCAACACTTTGAAAGAAGGGAGAAGGCAAAAACTGTCCCACGGTCTCTGGCCACTGCAGAAAGGGAAAAACGTAACCCCAATAGCCAGGAATAACTGTGGCCTAGCTGTAAATCCCAATCACTGCACCTCAGTGAGGCGTTTGATGTCGAGTCTGGCGAGGAGACCCGCTTGGGATCTTGAATCTGTACTATATAAATCCAATAATCGAGAGCGTTTATACCCGTAGTACAAATAGGGGACTACAGTAAACGTTGGGGAAGGAGGGGGTTGGGGGAGGCGTCAGAGCCGTCAGCCATTTTCCCTTACCTCCCCCAAACCGACATGATTCTAGAGCCGGCTTGGCACTCACTACCGAGCGCCTACCCTGTGCGGAGAATGGCGGGGCCGATGGGTTTGGCTAGAAAAAGAAACATACTCAAACGCCTACTCGAACGCCCCTAGTTCGTGAATTCTCTTTCAAATCCTGCTGTGGGTCCGGAAAGGAGCAGGTATTCACTGTACGACACCGTTACTTTACCCTGAAACCAGAGTATGCGAAAACAGCAAGGAGCGGCAATGCTGAATCCCAAGTCTGGCAAAAACAAAAAGAAAAACCCGCTACAGCCATGCTTGGGACTTCGGCGCTGAGGAAAAAACCACCCACTCCGTTCAACGTACGCTGTGGTTCTCTTACCTAATTTTTTCCCCCTCCGGCAGGGTCTCTCGCTGGGTTTAGATAAGCTCCAGGTGGTGCGTTCGTCTTGCGTCACCTTTTAGTCCTACTGCAAGGCTGGTTTCACCGTTCCTAGATCCAGGCCTGGTCTTTCCACCGCGACTCTTTGCTCCCGACGCCGACACCGACACCAGGTGTTGAGGCGGCCGCCTCCCGTGTGGGAGAGGCTGCAGCCGCGGCGAGCTCCCGAAAGGCCTAGTAGCCGTTTGAGCCTGAAAGGGGCTGGACTCAAGAAAGCCCCTAAAGGGCGGGGTGCGGGGAGGTTGGGACTCAGCAGTCTTCTAGGCCGGTCCTCTTCAATATGGCGGATCCGCCGAACCAAAAAAAAAAAAAACCAAAAAACCAACCCGCCGAGCCAGCGGCAACCGAACAGGCGCAGACTCCCACCAGCCCCAGCGCCAGTTAGAACCTAGAAGACCCGGGCTCTTTCCAAGTCCCGCCCCTCGGTCCTTTCCAAGTCCCGCCCCTCGGCCCTCCCCCGACTTCAGCCCAGCCTCTTTTCCCTCAGCTCTTCCGGCTTTCTCCCTTTAGCCCCACCCGTTTTCCCTTCATTTCACCGGAATTAAGAAATCCTTGCGCCAATCCGGGTGTGTCGTTCTGGTTGATAATTCTTGGTCCGGAAGGTCTGAGGTAAAAACGGGACAGATCGCAGAATAAAGGCAGCCGTCGGGTCATTAGCTGTCGCACCACCCTCAGTATGGGCTACAACGCGGCTCTCCAACCTTCTTTGGTTCTAGACCGCCTTAGGGAAAGAGCTAGGTCGAGTACGAGCCAGACTAAGGAAAAGGGGGCATATTGAAACTGGGAATCTGTTGGTACAGTGGGTGGCTTGAACGGGTGAGGCAAAATGGACAGAAGGGTAACTACATATTTAGAAGAAAGGATTAATCGCGTGTTGTGACGCAGCGGCATCGCTATGACAGTTTCACTTGCATCGCTCGGTTTTGTTTTATTTCGAATCTGCCCAGGCGGCTAATACGGATGAAAACGCCACCAGTCCTAAATTACGTAATGGAGAGGAGAGAGATAGACCTCCATAAAGAGGTGCTGAGACTGAGCACTGACTTTTCCACTGTATGTGGACGATCAGCAAGGCACACTTTGGGGTCACCGTTTCCCTCCGTGCATTCATAAACAACGATCTCTGTACTGATGCCCGTGCCTGGGGGCGCAGAGGTGGGAAGAAGGGGTAATTGTACAGGATTCAGTGATTCAGGGCCCCTTGCCCTGATGAATAAGAGGAAAGTCCAATACATTACGCTTGATATATTGAGATGACCATGTGGATTTTGTACTTTATTAATATATTTCTTTAATTGATTTTCATAATGTGTAAACAAGCTTGTATTTCTGGGATGCTTCCCACTTCACCATGGTGTAACATGTGTATATATGTACCTATACATGTGTGTATATATACGTACAAAACTTTACGTAAATGGTTATTTCGCTTTGTAATTTGTTCCTTGTTTGTAACTAACTACTAGCAGAAATCCATGGAAGACTGCAGATATGCTATTGATAGAGATGTCGTTAGTAATTATTACCATAATCAAGTCTTCAAAACATATCTCCCGAATGATATTCTGAAAAGAAAATATTTAGAGAGTAGATTAGTTGGTCAAGATCATCAAAAAGGAAGTGAAAACGGAAATCTCATCCCTAGCAAAATGTGCTTTGTGCCCCAAACCTGCCTGCGTGTAATAATTACAAGCAAAACATTATAGAGGCCTTATTTTTGCTTTCTGCTTCTTGCCTTACTGTTTCCATGAAGGGTCTTGAATATGGGTGATACTTAGACACCAGTCTTTTTATTTTATTTTATTTTTTTGGTAAATATATTTACTGAAATATACATACATCCTGTAAAGTTCAGAGCTCAAGTTTTTACTAAGTATGTACATTTCAGAGATCATATTCTAAACTTCGTGTTTAGATCTGAGCTAGGTCTATCCTGTTCCACAGATTTGAATAACTTTACCTAACTCTGTGGAACAAGACTATGAACACCCAAGTTTGCAGATTTCCTTTCTAAAATCTACAGAAATGATATGAAGGGGTATTTGTGGATGTCACAGGTGTACTATTTATGTAACAACTGAAGGACAGTGAGCGTGGGAATTCCATTTATTTTTCTATTGTCATAAGCAAGCTTGCTCTTTCTGTGTAGGGGATAGGAACGGATATTGCCTTATCATTCAGGGTTTGTAAGAAATGACTTAGGAATAAAAAAAAGGCAAATGACATGGGTTAAAGTATTTAATTGTTGATAAACCCAGGAAAACAAATGAGGAGCGCAACAGCCATAGAGTACTGTCTCACAAAAATACTAGCAGTGTATATATACAATAGAATATCACCAATAAAAATATTGATGAAATCTTGCCATTTACAGCAACATAGATGGAATTAGAGTGTATCATGCTAAGCAAAATAAGTCAGTCAGAGAAAGAAATATTTGACTTCACTCATGTGGAATTTAAGAAAAAACATCAGATGAACAGAGGAGAAGGCAAGGAAAAATAGAAAAGATAAAAAGTTGCTGGAGGGGAGCAATGGGCTAAGTGGGTGATTAGCATTAAGGAGGGCACTTGCTGTGATGACCTCTGGGTGTTGTGTAAGTCATGAATCACTGAATTATACTCCTGAAACCAATACACCACTATATGTTAACTAACGTGAATTTAAAAAACAAGAAATGCTGCCAGTGCAGCACATATATATCCTACCAAGATACATCCTGGCAGTCATGCTCCAGCATATGGCCCTTGATATACATTTGAAGGGTCTCATGACTGAAGTTTTATTAAACAGTAATAAATGATGTTTCCCTAGCAACAGCTAGCCCCTCAAGGTCCTGGAAACCTTGCTTTCAAAATATGTTAGATACTTTGCTTATGCCAGCCCGAGGAAATATGAGTCATGACGCCAGTGCAGTTCTGCCCACAGGTCCTGTCCCAGTGCTTTAATAAAATCACCTTTTTGCACCAAAGACAACTTTAATAATTCTTTCTTGGTTATTGACTCCATCCCCCACCATCACCCCAAAATTCATCATATGGCACCCAACATGGGGCTATGAGTCTTTTCATCTGGACTCTGAGCCTGTGCAAATATGGTGAGTATACTTTCTCTTTTCCTCCTTTACTCTCATTTCAGAGGTGTTTGAAGAGGATGGTCTTATTGGAACATTTTCACATTGATTGTTCAAGCTGTAATCCTCTAGCCTGTGGCTACTCTACAGGGAAGAGAAAGCCTGCCTTTTGACTGGAAGTTAGTTCCCTGGCTTGAATGGTGGTAATAAGAACCACAAACTTGATGCCCCCTCTTTATTCCTGTCCTTATACAAAGTTGTCTGCCTGTGGCACAGGACAGCCACCTAAGTCACCAGGATGCCTGCCACTCCTAAGACTCCCTTGTGACGTTTCCTCCTCTTTGGTCTAACATGATCCCCTCCATATCTCTGGTCTAGCCACTTCTGGTGACAGGACCTCCACTGACAGCCGGCCAAAACCAGTACCCAATTGAATTAAAATCCAACTAGGGACTATTTTCTAGGAAGTTGGCTGCACAGACTATAAGTGTTGGGATGTCACTTAGATCATGATGGATTTCTGCCTTTACCATTTTCCGTCAGTGTCCTCTACTAATTACTACTTAAGTTATAAAACTGGGTAATTTCCCCTTGTAAAACTTTTCCAGTGTTTTCCATGGGTTAAAAAGGGTTGGTTCTTCAAGAAACTAAATCTCAGCCCCCCCAGCATGCTCTTCACAGACTAGATAATCAGAGCATGACCCATCAGGACATGTTGTTCGAGGCATGGCCTTTTAGGCCACAGGCTTCACGGTAGGGTATTTTGGTCCATACGGTCCATTCTGTAATCTCGAATGCAGTAGGCAAGTTGGGGGACACTAGCATCCCTCCTCGGGTCCTTAGTCAGTGGTGATCATAGCGACTTCATTCAAGGGATGCCTTGGGTCTCTTTGACACCAGGAGCCGCTGACATATCCTGTGTGGGGGACACCACCAGGGAGTTGGGGGGAGTCGAGGAGTAATGGACCCTCCCTCTCTTTTCTTTCTACTTTTCTCCCTAGGAGAAGCACAGGAGCTTCTCCTCAACCCCCATGGATTCTCCCTTGGGATGCCTTTTTAACCACTGGAAACAATTTAGCTTGAAAAATGTAGAAAGGACTGATCTCCTGTAACACTGCATGGCCTTAGTAGGCAGAGCCAATGGATAGAGATACCCTAGGTCCAGTCCTTTACGGGTCCAAATTAGGACCCAGAACAAAAAGTCTCTTGCAGAATTCATTGCCCAAATGAGTTTGGCTAGTAAACTCCCTCCTGACATAATGGATGGCTAAACAGGCCTCCTCCTAATAGAACACTGGAGGAAACACAGGCCATTCCTGACACTGTTGACTCTTTGTCTGTTCTTCCCTGTAATAGATGTGGGGGCCTCTCCCTCATTCATTTTCCAGGTTAAGGGATGTAATTGGAGGCAAGTATGGTTAGTCTACCTCAGAAAAAGGACTTTAAGGACTCTTCCCAAGCAGCTGCCAAAACTCCATTTGTTTCGGGGAAATTCCCTGTCAGCTCCAGCGCTACATAGTTTCCAGATTTCCACTTTGGTGACAAAAAACATGGCATCTGTTCCTCTGCCCCAGCTGACAAGGTTTAGAACCAGAAATCCTTCTCTGCCTTCTGCTGGGATTTCACCTCTTCTGCCTTTCGACCCCCTCTTTCTGCACCACCTTGGGTGCAGCCTGCATAACTAGTTCCTATACCATCCTCAGTACTTCAGGCACCATTGGCTTCTCCTCCCACCAGTGATATGAACAAGATAAGCAAAGCACACCCACTTGGATGGCCCATTTCAGATTCCTGCCCTGGTGTCCCGGGTAAAACCAGACAATGGGGAACAAGTGATTGACTTTTAAGTGGACACAGGTGGAACATATTTGGTATTTAAACTAATTTAAGTTTGTTGGTTTAATTAAGATAGACCTGTATTTAGAGTTAATAGCATTAAATATGGAATTTATTCTATCTATGTTTGTTGAAGGTCAAGTAAGCTCATGTTGTGTCTGTTGCAATTCATTAGTAAAAAAGATGACTTACAGAAATGCAAACTGGTACAGCCACTCTGGAAAACAGTATAGAGGTTCCTCAAAAAACTGAAACTAGAACTACCCTACGACCCATCAATTGCACTACTAGGTATTTATTCAAGGGATACAGGTATGCTGTTTCAAAATGGCACATGCACCCCAATGTTTATAGCAGCACTATCAACAATAGCCAAAGTATGAA